TGTGTGCATATGTTCCTGAGCCCATCTTACCAATACTTTACCCTAGGACCTAAGCTTGTCATATTAGCTGGGCAGGACTGCAGACAAAACCATCCTTGTAATGTACCCTGATTAAAGTATAAGCCCTGGCAAAGGCCAGAAGCAGTGGCTTCTAGTGACTTCTGGTCAGTGGTGAAGGCAAAGCAAAAGCCTGCCAGGCCTTACCTGCATGATGCTATTGAGTCGAGGCTGAAGGCTGCTCAAGTACTCCTTTTTTACTTCTATCTCTTTGAGGATCTTCTCCTTGTTGGATAGGGAATCTCGATATTTCTCTGCCAGTCTGAGGGAGAGGACAGAGCACTGTCATGCCACCCTTGTAAGGACACCTAAACATACCTGTGCTCTGTCAGATTCCACCTATACAGTAGCTGATTAACTGCTGTTTGCTAGCACTTACTACATATGAGGCCCTTTGTGGAGGTTACAGGCATGATCACTATAATCTTTATAAAAACACTAAAGCTTATCCCCAAAGAAGGATAAAGCCTGCTCCTCCCCTTTCTTTCCTTCTTTCTTCCCTCCTTCTTTTCCTTCCTTTCTTCCTTCCGCTGGAGATCAAACCCACAATTTTATACATGCTAAACAACATACTGAAATTTTATTTATTTATTTATTTTTTAGTTTGCAGGTATCAGTATATATATATATATTTTTTTTTTTGAAATTTTAAAGGAAAGTTACTCCAAATTTATTAACAGCATTAAGCAATTACAACCCCACTCAGGAGGAAACTGGTAATATTTACACTATTCATTATGAATTACTCAGAGTGGTACCTTGTCTTCAGAAACTTCATTTATTTATTTTTTTGCAGCACTGGGGATTGAACTCAGGCCCTTATGCTTGCCAGGGAAGCGCTTATTCCACTGAGCCATCTCCCCGGCCCACTTTAGAACTAATCTGCTGGTTCCATACTGCTTTGCTATTTAATCCCAGGTCATCGCAGTACACCATCACTCTGTGGATAATAAATTCAGGAAAGAATACCTTTTCCGCTGCTCTAGCTCCCAGTCCAGACGTGCCAGGGTCTGCTGGTGAGGGTCTCCCATGGTGACTTCAGCCTTGCTGATGTCTGCTGGTGCCTCCTTATAAAACTCCTCTAAACTGACCAGATCAATTTCTTCATGCTTTGACCTACAGGCAATATCCAGATGTCAAGCTGTCATTCACAGGAACCTTTCGCAGTTATGAAATTCTCTTGTCTAGGCCCACTCAGCCCTGGTCTTAACTATTCAAGATCCTGGAACCCAATCTCCACAGATGCTCACTAGCAGATGTTTAAGTATGAGGCCACTGGTGACAAGCCATCTGATCCTCATCCATTCTAACATTTTTATCCATGAATTAACAAAACATATAAATATGATGCTTATCAAATATACAAGTATTTCCCAGCTCAGGAGAGTTAATAACTTAAGACTTAAATAAAATTATAATGGCCCAGGTTTAGATTGACAGGCTGTATACAAGACATGTCATTTAACAAGAACAAGCCTAAGTTCAAAATATTAACTGCATAAGCACAAGAATGAGGGAAGAAATCCAGCTAGGTAGAACTAGATGTGAAAAAAAATCCAGAGGCTTTGTTACATATATTGGGAGACACAGAAACAATGTAGTACTTTTTTTTTTTTTT